CAATTTCTAATAATAATAATAATAATAATAATAATAATAATAATAATAATAATAATAATATAGGAGTGTGTGTGTGTGCGCTTGTATCTCCATCCTATTGGCTCTGTTTCTCTGGAGAACCTTGAATAATACAGTGAGGCTGTAAATACACAGAGATTACCTGAGGCTGACCAGAAAGCAGGTATCATATGGAATTAAGATCAGAACAGAGATACTAGAGTTAGAGCAGTCCTGAGATAAGAGCACTGCCAGGGGAGTTCTTGTAAACACATCTTTAATATCCTTTGGCATCCAGCTGAAAACAGCAGAAAGGTTATAATTTGGTGTAAGGACCATAGTTTAGAGTAAGACCTACTCCAGTTCTGTCCTAATTAAGCCTAAAAGCAAACCATGACAAGATTCACAGGAAAAGGATTTGCAGTTTGAGCCTTATGAAGTCATGCTTGAGAAACATTTTAGACTCTCCACTGAGCTGTAGAAACAAAACAAAACCAAGCCTAAATAAGTGTAAGGTCATTAGCCAGTAATTACATTGCCTGTTAAAATAAGGATCCATATACTTCATGAAGATATAACAGACTCTACAGTATTGTTCACAGTGAACGATATTCAATAAAAAGTCATTTAGACATATACACACACACACACAAAGAAACAAGAAAATGTGATCTATAGTCAAGAAAAAAAGCAACATATAGAAATGGACCCAAATAGTCCAAATGTTAGACTTAGCCAACCAAGATTTTAGATATGTCCGAAGAATACAGGAAAACATGGTCTCACTGAATGAACAGATAAGGAATCTCTACACAGAAATGGTAATTATAAGTTAGAAACAAACATGCTAAAACTAAAAAGTAAAATAATTGAAAAATTCAATACTTAACAGCAGATTGGAGACAGCAAAATAAAGTCAGTGAACTTAAAGAGCAGTAGAAATTAAATTTTAAAATCCGTATATAAGTGGACCCACACAGTTCAAATCTGTGTCTTTTAAGAGTCAATTGTATTTTCAATTTGCAGTTGAGAATCTGTGTATGTAGAGGGCGAATAAAAGTTATATACAAATTTAAACTGTGTGATGTATTAGGTCAAGTATACTTACAAATTCAAATGAAAAGACAACTAAACTTATGGGATGCTATGAGGGCAGTGCTCAGAAGGAAATGTATAGATGTAAAACCTACATTTAAAATGAATTAATATCCAAAATATATAAAGAACTCATACAACTCACCAACAAAAAACAAACAATCCAATTAAAAAATGGGCAGAAGACCTGGACAGATATTTCTCCAAAGATTAAATACAGATTGCCAATAGACATATGAAAAGATGCTCATGGTCACTAATCATCAGAGAAATGCAAATTAAAACCACAATGAGATATCACCTCACACCTGTCAGAATTGCTATCATCAATAAATCAAAGAACAACAAGTGTTGGTGAGGATATGGAGAAAAGGGAAGCCTCATACGCTTTTGGTGGGACTGTGAATTGGTACAGCCACTATGGAAACCAGTCTGGAAGTTTCTCAAAAAACTAAAAATGGATATACCTTTTGACCCAGCAATGGCACTCCTGGGTATTTATCCAAAGAAAAGCAAAACAATAATTCGTAAAGATCTATGCACCCCCATGTTCATGGCAGCACAATTAACAATAGCCAAGATGTGGAAGCAACCTAAACACCCATCAACAGACGACTGGATAAAGAAGTTATGGTTCATATATACAATAGAAT